GGAGGGACGCACGTTGCTTTTGCGGTCCTCCGCTCTAAAAATCCTCTTCTCCTTGGAGCCTATTGGTCTCCATGTCGTCTTCGGAGGTTTCGTCGTCACGCTGGTCTCTACCAGTCGTTACCGGAGTCTTTCCTTTGGTATCTTTCTTCTCTCCACGTCGTATCTTCGGGTGGAATCTGGGATCATTGGCTCTGTGGCCATGCTCTTTGCATGAGAAGCAAAGGCCCTTCTTGTAGCATTCGTCTTTCTCTGCCTGAGAGAGGGTGCGGTCTACGTCCATAGCGTTAGGGTCTCTGGACGAGGAGACATTAGGCTTGGGGTAGTACTTGGAACCGCGAGGGGCGTATCGGGTGTGTTGGTTGCGGGAGTTGGCAGAGACGGCCTTGCTCCTACGGTAGTTAGCATCGAGCTGTACCGCAGAAGTGTACCACTTTTCGATAGTGTTAGGAAGTGTCTCCTTCCTGTAAATTGCTTCGCGAAGGCTTGGGTTCAGGCCCTTCTCAAAGAAGTGTGAGAGTGTCACGCCTTCCTTGATATTGGCGATGGTAGCCAACGTTTTGAACTTCGAGATGTAGTCCGTAACGTTGTTTCCCATTCTGAGTTCGGCGATTTCGGTAAGGGCATTCACCTGCTTATCAACGGGTTGAAATGCAAGGTTGAATCCTTTCTCGAATTCTGCGAACGTTCCGAATTTCGGAGGGTTGGTGCTGAAAGCTTCGCGATAGAAGTTATCAGCCCATGCTTTAGCGCTGTTCTTTGTCATTAATGACAGGGTGACGGACACCATGATCTGCTCGCTGCAATAGACGGTGGGGTTGATGAGGAAGTACGTCTTTAAGCTGTAGAGCCATCGTTGTGCGTCGTCGGTGTTCCCATCGTAGTCTGTTGGTGACCCTGCTTTGAGTTCAGGGGCACGAACTACGACGGCGGTGGAGGAGGATGGGTTAGACATTCTTGTCTTCGGATTGGCGCTAGTGTTTCGGGGAGGTACTTCGTCTGGAAAGTCCTCTTCAGAAGTCGGAGTGTTTCCTAGATCTTCTTCGTCGTTCAGTCCCTCGTCTGAGTGGTACTGCTCTGTCGGTGAGGTGGGAGAGCTAAACTGTCCGTCTACCTCTTCTTCGTCAGGATCTTCCTGATTCGGGTCGCGCTCCCAAGAGAACTTGCGTGTCCAGGGAGTGGTCGTCTTGTATCTGTTTCTGTCCTCGATAGGTGTCGAGGGCTAGAAGGGAACTTGAATCTTTTGTTACGACTTGGATGGTATCTGTTGGCGACGCTCAAACAGAGCTTGTGTCGTCAACGGTCTGTGGACGTCCTTGGGCTAGCCCAAGGTTAGGGGTCGTACTTGGCGTGTCTTCGGCAAGTACGATTTAACGCCTATGTCCAAATCGGGTAGCTTATGTCACGCGGGTGCGAGACGATAAGCTATATCGGCCTAGGCTTACGACACCCGAAGGTTAATCGTAAGGATCGTCGTTAATTAGAAGGACAGAAGTCCGACTAGTTAACAGGGGCTTTGCTCGTCGACGAAGTCGATGAGTAAAGGTCGAGACTATAGGCTTATCCGCGATGAGCAGATAAGAAGATAGAATATAGACTGCTGGCGAGGCAGAAGGATCACTCTGGTGAGAGTTAGGAGGTCAAGAACCAAGTAGATTCAAGTTAGGGGATATGGTACATGGTAGCGAGTTTATATAGAGGACAGGGGACGTATTAGTGGATGATAACTCGTACTACCGGGAGAGGCAATCGGTAAAGGGTAAGACCATAACAGGAAGGCACGTTCGAATCTAGGTAGAACGTGCTGGATAAGAAAGTGAGTCAAAGATCAGAATGAGGAAGTGAAACACGCAGGGGCACGATCGTGCAACTGCGGATCTAAGTATAAGTCGCATGTGCGACTGCGCACCGAGTCAGAGATCAAGAAAGGAAAATAGGGCAAAGGGGATGCGTCATGCATCGTGTCATAGGTTACCGTCCAGACGGTAAGGGTCAGGGGACTGTCCGCAGGATCAGTCAGGTGGTGAAACGGAGCATGGGTATGCTTCGTCAGCGAAAGGATCCGGCCAAATGTACTGGCTTTGCTGAAGTGACAGGTAGAGGGCGAAAGGGAATGCGAGGATGACGAGGATGACAAGGGTAAGGTCGGGGTAAGGGTATGATGCGAGGGCTGATACGAGGAGGATCAGGAGAAAAATAGTAGGGGCCCAAGCATCTAGATGTTCTTGTAACACAACCCTGGAATTCATCATTGACTTATTGATTCACCGAGTGCCGAGTGCCAAGGCCTGAATCCTGCAACTTGAAATGAGTGGAAGACTAAATGTTGCAAAATTGTTGACATGAAAGTGTTACTCCCAGAACACCGAAATCCAAAACTCAATGGTTGAATCACTGAGTACAGAGTACCGAGTGCCAAGTGCCAAGTGCCAAGTGCCGAGTGCCGAAACCCGAGGCTCGAAACACAACACTGGACACAATACACCATATGGTATTTCTTACAAATTTCATGGAGGTCCCATCGCAAAACCATGAAACTTTTCAGTGACTTATCGATTCACCGAGTGCCAAGACCCGAGACCCGAATGCCGAGTGCCGAGGCTTGAAGTCCGAAACACGAAATGAGTGGAAATGCACATTTCGCAAAATTGTTAACATGGAAATATTAGATTGTCTTCAACAGTTTGCTGGAAGTCATTTGCCGATCCCCGAGCCGGAAACCCGAAACCCGGAAAACCCGTAGAACTCATTACAGGTTTTCTGGGTTTCGGGTTTCCGGCACGGGGATCGGCAAATGACTTCTGGCAAACTGTTGAAGACAATCTAATATTTCCATGTTAACAATTTTGCGAAATGTGCATTTCCACTCATTTCATGTTTCGGACTTCGAGCCTCAGCACTTGGCATTCGGGTCTTGGGTCTCGGGTCTTGGGTCTTGGCACTCGGTGAATCGATAAGTCACTGAAAAATTTTGTGGTTTTGTGATGGGACCTCCGTGAAATTTGTAAGAAATACCATATGGTGTATTGTATCCAGTGGTCTGTTGCGAGCCCCGGGCTTCGGGCATCGGCACTCGGTACTCGGTACTCGGTACTCGGTACTCAGTGATTCAACCATTGAGTTTTGGATTTCAGGTGTTCTGGGAGTAACACTTTCATGTCAACAATTTTGCAACATTTAGTCTTCCACTCGTTTCGAGTTGCAGGATTCAGGCCTCGGCACTCAGGCACTCAGCACTTGGCACTCAGGTCTCAGGGTCTCGGAACTCGGTGAATCAATAAGTCAATGATAACAAAGGTAACATTGATTGAAAACATTGCATATACATTTATGACTATCTAATTATGTAGTCATGTCAACATCCTCACCAGGAGGTTCACCCTTCACTTGAACATCCATCTCTTCAACTGAATCATACTCTGGGAAAAGATTGCCTGGATCATCCGGTTTCACAATTTCACCGGGCATCTGTGAAACCTCAGGATGAATTTGGTTGAGCTCAAATATGAGTCTGTCGATGGCAGACTCATCCTGGAGGTTGGGGGGGTTGGGCTCCATCCCTTCCATAGACAGGTCAATGAGAGGAGGAAGTGCGGATGCGAGGGTTGACATGGCCGGAGGGACAGGTTGATGAAGCAAAAATGATGTCACATCACCTTGGGCATCCGGAAGTGGAAATGTTGGGTGCCAGAGGATGATTTCGCATCGAAGGCCTTCATGAAGGCATTGCAGGGTGTCAATCTTAGCATCCTGCTCAACAACACTAGGGCTGCACACCATACCGTATACGGTAGACGGCCGTATACATATGGTAGAGATACGGTAGACGGCGAATCCGTACACCGTATATGACATTGGGGGCGGATGAAGTGAACGGTACAGTATGGAGTATAATACGGACATATACGGTAGTGTACGGTACATACGGAATGAAAACTAATCACAAACGAGCCAAACGAAGTCTTGCCTTCACGAGCATCAACGTTCTGATAGTCTCAGGCTTGAGACTTGCACGCCGCAGTGAAACTGTGTCACGACCACCGGAGAAAATTCAGTTCGACAGCAACAGCAGATCCTACAAAGAAGAGAACTAAGTACAGACACCTGGAACATGAAATAAGTACTCACCAGGTATTGAAAGGACATCTCGTGCAAGTCAAGAGAGGTTCGGAAACTGTGCTCGGCGACCCGCCCTACCACTGAATGGGGTCGCAAAGGTCGAAATCCTCTTGCGGAAGTTTTAGGTACTCCTCAAATTCATCTACCAAAACATTTGACCGCTTCTTATACCTCGCCGTGAAATTCACCTTCGAGGGAGAATTTCTGCCATCAGACACATTTGCGTGATGGCCTGTGCTGGCAGACGGCGATGATGCACTGTCCTGCGCTAAAGACATAGCGGCATAGTCTTTTTTATACAGGGTGTGCAGGTCATTCTTCAGGAAGTCGATTTGTGACCGTGTGCTTGCATCATTGGCATCGCAGTCGTCGCGGAGACCTTTGTAAGTGATGCGGGGATCGAGAACTTGAACTAGATTAGATATCAAAATAAATCCAAATGCAGCACAAAACTCACTCGAAGCCCAGACATAGTATGGCGAGTCATCAATCTTGAAGAAGTAGTCGCTGAGCTTCCGATGTGCATTGATCAAAGCGAGCCGTATCTTTGTTGGGGCTGTGTCTGGAAGATTAGCTAAATCATCCCAAAGCGACTCCTCAAGGCCTCGAAATATAGCGTGAGCCGAAGATAACATTGGGCGCTTGGTTGTTGACATTTGAGTGGTTGCTGACCGGAATGCCTTCAGCCACCACGTCACTAGTTCAATCGCATGCCAATCATCATCAGAAAGTTCATATTGTCGTAGTTCACGTGTCTTCGCCATGAAGTCGTTGATAGCCTTTCGGGAATCCAATGCACGGCCTGTAAATTTGATTGGTACTCGATCATAAATTATGGAGCTGTACTTACGAAGCATTTGATGTGTTGACAACCAACGGGTCTTCACGTCCAAAATGAGCATGAGTGCAACTTGACTGAGTGTATTTTCAGTCTTCTTGAGTGATATTGTGACCTCCGCAAGCCATGCCTTGCGTTGCTGTGGGCTTGACCAAACTGATCGAACGATCTTTCGAAGCTGTTGGATCCATCCATTAGTAATGTGTTTCATTAGGTACGAAACTATCATTTCAATACCTTGTCGACAGCCGACAAAACCCCCTGCAGAGTGTTGAATTTATCGTCGTCATCTTCTGTTTCATCAAGAAGCGCAGCATCATCGTCATGCTCACGGTCTGTGGGAGCAGTAACTGAGTCCTGGTATGCAGATTCTCTACGTCTTGAATCTGGCTTGATGGCACCAATGCCCTCGAGAAGCTGCATCGCAGATAGGTGCACAATATGTGGCAAACAACGGATCCGTGCTTTCTTGTGCGAGAAGTCGATCCCCTCAGCGGCACACTTCTCTTCAAGGGATTCAAGTAGTGTATCGTTGTTTGTAGCGTTGTCACATACAACACCCATGATCTGTGATAAAATGAGTACACAAAATCATGGGACACGCTGTTTCGTACCCGATTTTTGAGTCCGTAAAGTTCGAGTGTGTTCCACACAGCTTCGGCAAGATTTGCACCACTGTGTTCGCCAATAATTTCACGAAAATTGATCAAAAGCTCTTCTGTTGATGCGAAGTTGAAGGATGGGCACAAAAATGGTGGGAGGGACATACCTAACTGCCAGTCATTGGTCACATAATGCATGATAATTGCAAGGAACGCAAATTGGTTGCTCGAGGTCCAAGCATCTAGGGAAAGGCTCACTTTCGCCTCGAGTTCCTGAAGAAGGTTGTTAATATACGAGAAAATCTTTTTTGAATTGTTCAACCTACCTGAACCATGTCTTTGATTCCTTGGATAGTCTCGTCACCCATCTTCATGATACGACGTTTGATTGCCATTCGTCCAGGGATACGTAGCGAACCTTGGTGAGTGTACTCAATGAATGCTTTGAACTCTGGCTTTTCAACCTCATCAAACGGCTGGTCGCATGCAACAAGCCATTTCGCAAGCAGGTCTTCAAATTTGTCTTGGTTCCAGTCACCGAATGCTTTGTTGACTTGCTTGTTGAAAGCGTCAATGAGATTTGCAGATGCTTGCTCAAGCTGTGTCAGGTATGCTGCTGCTGCGTCAGGATCAAGAACTTTTTCGCCTCGCACCATTTTGAGCTCATCTTCGGTGGGAGGTGTTCCACGAGACTTCAAGATGAGGTATAGCCGATACATAGGTGGAAAATGTGTTTTGAGATGCCCGACCAAGCCTGATAGTTACACTGTATTAGCAAGAAAGATGGTAGCCGAAACACGATATGACTTACCATTCAGGCTGCTTTTCATTGCGCGTGTAATGGTGAGGACCTTCCGATTACCCAAGTAACATTTGTAGTGTTTATCTCCCGGATCACCAGCCTGACCTGCAGCATTCAACTGTACAACATCGTAAAAGTGATATATTGGGTTCCGCTTCGTAGCCTAATAATATCGTAAGAATTGAACTCTCTGAGACAAAACGGCACCATACCTTGACAGTAGGCACAGAACTTCGAAGGGGTAGAGCATCTTCCAAGTCGACAGGACTTTCTTGCATAGTCGTGGTTGTAGTGGCTCTTCGGCTGGCAGATGCCCGAGTGGTTGACTTTTTGGTCAAGCGCTTGCGCTTGTTTCGCCTGTTTGATTGTTCCGGAACTGTTTTTGAAGGTAACAAGTGCGCGAGCTTGTTTTGCATAATATTGAGTTTATGAACAATGCTCTAGAGCACAACTCACCTCTTCGTTCGTGATTTCAATGACATCCGATTCACGATCAGAGTCCGATGTAGTATCCGACGGCAAGCCTGAAGAATGAGTGTAGTCACTCCCTTCATCATCCAGGTCACCTTCAACGGTAAGACCCTCAAAGCGATTCTGGGTGGTTTTCGACTTCTTGGTTCTCCTGGGCTTAGACTTGGTGGCACTTTTTCTTGGTAGGGACTTTTTCTTGAAGTGTGATTTTTTTCGGAGTGTGACTTTTTTTTTTTTCAGAGCGTTACTTTTTTTTAAGAGTGTGACTTTTTTTATTCTGGATGTGACTATTTTTTGGTGACTACCTACTTTCTATGAAAAAGCTTCAATTTCGTTATTGTCCAGTGCGGTCACCCATAAAGAACTGCATAACGCTAAACAAACATGTATAGAACAATTCTTCTCATTTTAATCATGTACTTGCGTAGGAATTATTGATAACTTTCTGTCACCCTTTTGGTGGACGTCACACATGTCACAAGTATGTGACAAATATCGTCTTGCATATTCCTCATAATGCATAACATTTTGGCGGTCCCATCGGTATGCATTATGACCATTTCAACTGTACATGTAAGTCACCAAATTTCAAGCGTCCTTCGAGCACATTCCTGAGAAAGCACAAATCAAGATCATTTCAGAGGATACTAATAGTGCAAGGGACTCACTCTAAGTCTGGAGAGATTGTGAACAATTGCTACATTCACAATTGTGCGTAACCTTCTCCTGAATTCGGGTTTGCTAAGGACTAGCTGGTATGGTCCAGAACAATGACAATGTCGCGACACGTTGTCCGAGCGAACTTGCTTGCACTTGCCGCAGCGCATGTCTTGTTGCGTAAACGTTCTTTCAAGTGATCCAACTAGTCTGACCAGCTCCATCTCAATCGCAATGCGGTCATACTCTCCTCCGCAACCCCCACAGATCCAACGTGGCCTAGCACCATCAAGGCCGTATGGCATAAGCTCTGGATCGCGGCAGAAGTCAAAGTCACGAAGTGTATCGCAATTCCGGCAAGGGACATTAGGTAATTTGAGCGGCTCGCATGGGTTGCGAAAAAGGGCTTCATTAGCAAACTCGCGCACACCAGCAAGGTCGAGGAGGTTTCGCTTGAGCAAACCAATTTCAACCTGGTAATCAGAAGCGAGGCCAAGCACGGTGGAGGTAAATTTGATGAATTCAAGAAGCGCATTTGTCATGTTGAGATGCGAACCGGGGAGGACAGGGAACTGGAACTGAGTGTTCAGTTCTTCGTCTATGGAAGCATCTCGTTGCTTTGCTTGGATAACACCAACCAGCCGAAGCAACTTGCGTGTGAGTTTCCTGGCGATAAACTCCCGTGTTGCGTCAGCTTCGTTGATTTTGCTAGGGTCAGGCTGGGTGAGCTCGGGAGCCATATTCCGAAGCACTCGAAAGGGTGCTCTTGAACCTTCACTATGCTTCTGCCGAATTTTGAAAAGCTCGACGATAAAGAATTGAATGACGGCACCGAAATCGTCTTGAATTGCAGGTGGCAGGAAAGTCTGGATATTCCACCGAGTCTCGATGGTGAGCTCTTCTGGCGGGTCAACAGCCAGCGGGTCTTCACATACGATTCCTCCCATGTTTGCAGAGTCCATGAAAAGAAGGAAGTCGTAAAACCGCTCTGTTTTGAGGTACATATGTTCGAAGAGTTCATGTGATGTCACTGCTGTGGTTATGTAGGTGGCATATGCGTGAGCGGTGCCCGGAGGCTTCGAGGTCGCTAGCAAAATCCGGCTGAAGTCCGCGTGGATGACGTGAGATCCGAGTCGTTTAAATTCAGCCAACATCTGGATGAACGTTTTCCTCATGAGCCCATGAACGAAGCGATAAATATTTGGGTCGTGGAGATGGGAAGCACTTGTGCTGATCCAGCGCCAGAAGTGGTCGATTGCTAGAGTAGCTGGGCTTTCAAAATTTCCCTGGACTTTGTCAAGCAACCATGTCTTGACCATCGACTTGAGAATACCAAAGGTGAGACTCGAGATGTTTGACTCTCCAAGGGTAAGGTCACGCTGAGCGTCGCCTCCGGAGAATTCATCCAGTGTCCGAGACACGGAATCAAATGCGGTTGCTCCGCCGCTCCCTTCAAGCTCATTGACAGCGACAGAGTGGAGGATGGAATTCACTGCCAAATTGCGAACAGTGACTTCTAGACATACGTTGGAATAACATCCAGGCGATGCAAACTCTGTGTGCTGTACGTCTTCGGTTGGTCTATTATCATCCTCGATTCCACCAAGATCTGGACGTTCCGACGGCGACCACCAAAGTACAATGTCCTGCTGGATCAGTCGTCGGGCAAAGCTAATATCCGACAACAACAGTGGCTGATCGCCGTCAATGTGACCTATAGGGACATCATAATAATCCGCTAGGGCGATTGAACGATCCAGCCAGATTCCTAGCGATAGGTACCGCTGAACCATCTTTTGAGCGACGTCAGGTTGCCATGGGAAGACATTGAGCGTATGGACTGCTTTCGTTTTCGACATTGACAGAACGGGGAATTTTGAAAGCTTTGGAACCCAGGTGTCAAAGTAGATTTGATCCTTGATAGATGAAATAACGATAGTGTATGACATATTTTCCAGGAGTCCGAGTTCTCTGGAAATAGATTTAAGGGCTGTCGTATCCTTGTTGTGGTATGTGGTATTGAAATCGCATGAGGCGGGATATTCGAGCGAACAGTTTCCATACTTGGATTGTCTCTTCGCTGAAAGGTCTTTGTACAACTCTTGGAGACGGGGGATCTGTTGTCGACGGGGAGCGGGATCAACAAGGTGAAGTTTGACAGCACCGTTGGGCATGAACATCGCAAACACGTGGACATGCGATGTGCTCGAACATGCATGATACAGGAAGATATACTTCCCCGCGCGACCGCCATCCAGGTATACTCTGCGAGTAAGGGAGATGCTAGCTCTGTCGAGTTGAGACAAATCGACGCCACTGCTTTGAGCACGGTTCAGAGTCATGCCGGGTTCATCCACAGTACATGTCTTGCCTAGTTTGAGGAGGGCGCGCATCTCTAGTGGAACCTAAACGGATGTGAGAGATTATTCGCTCAAAGTGTAAATGAGATGTACCTGCCGCTCAAACACACCATCAACATTCGGATCATTCATAAGGTCTATGAAATGCTCTTGAATTTCCTGATAAACGTCCTCCTTCACAGAGATCCGATAGAGATTGGAACAGAGAATGTCACGAGGAAGGTGACGGACAACCTTCTCGAAGGTATAGTACTCTGGTTGAAATAAGCTGTCGCGAGGCGGTGTCTTTAGGTGCAAGAAAAAATCGCGAGGAATGCGCAGAGGCACAGGCACCAGTTGAGCATCGACGGATACCCATAGGGTGAATCGCCCGGGAATCTTGCTAGGACGGATTTGCACGATATCCCATCGTTGTGTTGTACGAACCCGGGCACCTTTGAACATGGAAGGCATGATAGCGTCACCACTGTTTCCCCAGCGAGCATTCCGCTGTTTCTTCCAACGTGGTCTCATGGCCCTGATCCACGCGGAATAGCTGATCGTAGGATCAGGAAGCGGAACTTCATCGTCTGATACTTCTTCGTCAGGTTCAGGGGTCCGTTTACGGGACTTCCGATTGACAATAGCAATACGCGGGCGTTCCGAGGTCTTTCCTTGTCCGAAATCCTCCATGTCCAGTTCTGCATCAATTATCAGAGCCTGTGTCTGAGTCTGAGACTGCGAGTCTGCAGTAGCACGCGTGAAAAAGTCGGTAACTTTGTTCTGTTTGAACTTGTCCACCGCGCCTGCAACACGGCGGTGCAGCCAGTCGGGGTGGCGGATACGAGGAACAGGGTTAGAGACTTTCTGCATGGCAGCAGGGATGGTGATAAGTTTCTGGATGACTGAGCCCAAACGCTCCACGTAGTACTCCCAGTCGAGGATAGATCTGAGATCGAAGGTGCAGAGGCTATTATCTTTAAGCCATTTTCGCAGGTACATGCGCTTGACACTCTCCTCTGCTGAGAATATAGCCACAGGAACCGCCCGCTCCGTGACAGGCGCTCCGTTGGGCTTCGCAGAAATGATAAACTTACAAGCAAGACCTTTGTCCTTGACCATCTGGTCACCAAGGAACTCAGCAAGTCGCTTAGCGGTGCTGATAGAGGTCGACTTCTGTGCTCCATACTCCGCCAACGTCTTGGACATGCTACGATTCTCGGCAATGAGTTCAACGAGCTCCTCGTCGGTCAGGGTGTCGGCCTTGCTATAGAGGATATCGAGCCACTGATTCGCAACCTGCGCAACCGCACCGTAGCATTCCTCCGTCGTCGTTCCCAGAAGAAATTTCTCGAAGATCTGTGACTGGAAGATTTTGATCAATTGGAGCTCTCCCCGGCGCTTCACCTCGAACCCCTTCAGCTCCGCAAGCGACCCATCGTCATTGAAGACGGCATACCGCTTCTTTAACAACTTATCCTCCTCCTTCGATGACGGCAGAATCATGGCTTTGTACGGCCCATCTAGTTCAAAGAAAATGGAGTTCTCGCTGTGGACGACGTACTCCCCAGTAGAGGCGTCGAGGTCGTGGTACTGGTGGTTGGTAAAGCGGGCATACACAAGGTGATTGAGCATCGTACACGGGTACGAGAACCCGATGGCTTTCCCGTTGTTCAGTTTAAATTTGAAGTTCTCCGGGAAGACTCCGGGAAGCATGCACCAGATTCCATCCGTATCCAGCTCCAGCGGGCGACCGA